TGTATGGGGAGGGATGGAGGGGTGGGTAGGGGGATGGATGGATGGAGGGGTGTGTAGGGGGATGGATGGATGGAGGTGTGTGTAGGGGGATGGATGTGTAGGGGGATGGGGTGGGATGGAGGGATAGAGGGGGTGCGTATGGGGAGGGATGGATGGAGGGAGGGAGAGATGGGTGGAGGGAGCGATGGATGGGCATGGAGGGATGTGAGTGTGTGGAAGGGGATGGATGTGTAGGTTGATGGGGTGGGATGGATGGGGAGAGATGGAGGGATGGAAGGGTGTGTAGGGGGAGAGATGGATGGATGGAGGGAGGGAGCGATGGATGGGTATGGAGGATGTGTGTGTAAGGGGATGGATGTGTAGGTGGATGGGGTGGGATGGAGGGGTGTGTAAGGGGAGGGATGGATGGGGAGAGATGGAGGGATGGAGGGAGGAGCGATGGATGGGGATGGAGGAATGTCTGTGTGTGTGTAAGGGGATGGATGGATGGAGGGAGGGGTGTGTTGGGGGAGGGATGGAGGAATGGAGGGGTGTGACGTTGCACTCCATATGTTTTATGGAAGTATGCTAATGAGTGTGGATATGATGTATCTGGAATATGCTTTATGCAAAAGGTCTCTTGTAAGGTATCATTACAAAGCTTATAATCTACTGAGTGTGATCATCCGATTTGTATGAATGTACCACTCTTGTATCTAAAACTAGAAATATGAAGTATAACTCTGAGGTCCTATTGTAATTATGCAAAGTGTGGGCCATTAATGGTGGCTTAGGATCTTGATGGCTCCCATTGACTAGGACAATTGAATGGGTTTATTTACCTGCAAGTCTTCCTGTGTACCTGACATGGCTAATGAAGAATGAGGTCTCACAGGACATGTGACCATGTCACCTGATACTGGAATCCATCTTAAACCTGGTGCTTCTCCATTTAGAAGGAGGGATGGGGACCCAGAGAGACAAAGGATTCCCGCCTTGTGCCAAAGCTATAAAAGGGGGTGGAGCAGGACAAAGGGGGGCTGCCAGTCATGAGAAATCCCCTAGTTACCACCTGAGCTGGAACTAACAAGGGCTGTACCAGGGGAAAGGATTGGGCCCAGACTAGGAAGGAGTCTAGTCTGTGAAAGAAGCTTATTGGAACATCTCTGAGGGTGAGATTTACCTGTAATCAGTTTCTTAATGTATTAGCCTTAGACTTGCGTGTTTTGTTTTATTTTGCTTGGTAACTTATTTTGTTCTGTCTGTTATTACTTGGAACCACTTAAATCCTACTTTTTATGCTTAATAAAATCACTTTTGTTTATTAATTAACCCAGAGTAAGTGATTAATACCTGGGGGAGCAAACAGCTGTGCATATCTCTCTATCAGTGTTAGAGAGGGCAGACAATTTATGAGTTTGCCCTGTATAAGCTTTATACAGAGTAAAACAGATTTATTTGAGGTTTGGATCCCATTGGGAACTGGGTGTCTGTGTGCTGGAGATAGGTGACCTGCTGAGCTGTTTTCAGTTAAGTCTGCAGCTTTGGGGGGGTGGTCCAGACCCTGGGTCTGTGTTGCAGCTGGCTAGCATGTCTGGCTCAACAAGGCAGAGTTCTGGAGTCCCAAGTTGGCAGGGAAGACATGCTCAGAGGTACTTCCAGGTGACAGTCCCAAGGGGGTCTCTGTGACCGAACCCATCACAAGGGGTATGTAGAAGGAGGGATGGAAGGATGGATGGATGGAGGGGGATGGATGGAGATGGAGGGATGTGTAAGGGGATGGAGGGAGGGAGGGAGGGATGGAGGAATGGATGGATAAAGGAGTACAGATGGGGATGGATGGATGGAGGGATATGGATGGTGAGGGATGGAGGGGTGTGTATGGGGAGCGACGGAGGGGTGTGTAAGGGGAGGGATGGAGGGTTGGATGGAGGAGTGTGTAAGGGGGATGGATGGATGGATGGAGTCATGTGTCTGGGGAGGGAGAGATGGATGGATGGGGAGGGATGGATGGATGGGCAGGGATGGAGGGGTTTGTAGGGGGCTGGATGGATGGAGCGGTGTGTAGGGGGAGGAATGGATGGAGGGATGGAGGGATGGATGGATGGATGGAGGGAGGGGTACGGATGGGGATGGATGGATGGAGGGCTGTGTATGGGGAGGGATGGATGGCTGGAGGGGTGTGTAAGGGGATGGATGGACGGGTGTGTAGGGGGCTGGAGGGATGGATGGACGGAGGGGTGTGTAAGGGGAGGGATGGATGGATGGATGGAGGGGTGTGTAAGGGGAGGGATGGAGGGGTGTGTAGGAGGATGGATGGATGGAGGGGTGTGTAAGGGGAGGGATGGAGG